GCACAAAAAGTGTCATGGCGCATGAAAAACTTCCTGTCCATGGCCAGGACTTCATCATGTGCCTTGTCCGTAAAACAATGGCGGACAGCTTCTCTGCGGCAGAGACAGTGGAAGCCCGCACAGATCTGCAATGCTTGGCCAAATGAAAGTCGCATTGTCAGGCTCAATGTTTCCGGCGGCTCAGGGATGCACAGTCAGCTCAGCTCAGCACCGCACAGAGCAGAGCACGGCACGGTACGGCACAGCAGAACTGAGCTGATCTGGGTTGAAACAAAGCGCATCCGTTGGCGAAAATTGAAATGACAAAGTTCAAAGTTTAAGCGGCTTGGTTGTCAGTTGTTCGGTTATTTTATACTCTGATGCTGAAAGCTGTAGGAGTTTGTTATACATGTCGCTGAATTAGGCTGTTGAATTTTCATGTATATCTTAAATTATTGTTTATACCACCGATATAATGTTAGACTCACTTTATTTATAAGGTAAATTTCTGATATAAATAAATACAACCTATCAATATATAAATTATTAATTCAATATTTATTAGACGGCAATAAAGCTAGACTCACTGAATTTTAAAGGTAGATTGCTGGTAATTTTACTATAGAAAAACTCTAAATTGCAGACAAGACAGCCAATAACAAAATTCTGTAACTAAGCTTCTACAGCTAGAGTCACCCAGTTTTAAGTATAGATTGATGGTAACAGTATCTTACAGCCTTAAAATAATTTGTCTGTCAGTCATAGCTAAAAAGTATTTAACCCCATAACCAAAAACTCTCTTTTTCAATAGAATATTATGCAGTCGGCTACATCCGACTGCAACAGTCTATCTGTTTTTTTGTTCTTTTTTCCTTGTTTGCTTTTCAGCTTTGGCTGGACAGTGTTTTTAAGTCGACTTGGAGCTGGGCATCGCTTACCTGGCGGCCAATCTCGGCCTGCCCATATAGCTAATCAGAATGCATAAGCGACATGAAAATTAAACGAGCGCAAATTAAATTGCCTGCAGTTAAAAACACTTTACCCTGTGTTGCCCTAATAGCCACCACAACAGCAAACAGCAAACAGCAACAGCAAGAGCAATAACAATAGCAGCATCAACAGCAAAAACAACAATTGCACTGCATAAGTCATAAACTGAAAGTCAGATACAGCCACGCCCCCTATCGCAAACAACCCCTTCGCTCCTTCGCTAGCAGTCCCCACAAAAAAAACATTTGCATACTTTTAAGCGCAGCGGAGAAAAATCACTCATACGCACACGTCTCCATTACGTGGTTGGACAAGGGGATGGGGAAGGGCGTAACAAGGCCTCTGGGCGCTAAAGCTGTCTGGTTTTTGGTTTTGTTGTCGCTCCTTTTGTGATTGTTGCTGTTGTTGTTGTGCTATTATAACGGTATTTGCATTGTGCTTAAACGTATTTGAACACGACTCGTCGACGCTCGTCAGGGTGGAGCAATGCTCCCGGTCGAATTTGAAAGGAAACTGGTGGGAAATTCACTTTGGGGGTAGGTATGGGGCAACTTTGAGTTTGAGTCTTAGCAGAGGGGTTGTGGGTGTGGGGTTAGCAAGTACTTACCAAATGAGCAAGCAATTTATTTACGGTCAAATTGCGAGGTTAGGCGTTGGCAAACAATGCGCAGGTCGCTCCTTGTGGCGGCTGCGTGTGGGCGTAAAAATGTGATAAATTTGAAATGTGATTATGGCTGCTATTATACATATACACACACTATATATATATATATATACACCATGGCATGATGAGGCTTATTATGTGGAGTTTGTGCCACTGCGGTTGCTCCGGGCGTCGTTTTGAGTGAGTGGCTGCTGAGTCGCCGGGTGGCAAGCCGGGCGCTCTTCTGGCTTAAATGAGGAAATGTGATTTTGACGATGTGTTGGCTTAACGAGAAGCAAACAGCCACTTGTGTGTGCTCATGTATGTGTGTGTGTGTGTGTGTGGATTGCGGGTGCAAAGGAAGTTGTAATTGTTTTTAAAGGAAGTTGAAATTGCTCGTTGGGGAAATGTATTAAATAAATCACTGGCATAGCTATAATAAGCCAATAGTGCAGTCCATTGTAAAGTGCAATGAAACAAGAATAAGTCATAAAACGGCGACTATAAATATGATATAGATGGGAGAATTTTTATTGCGAATCAAGTTGGATGTCGATCAATTTAGATGATAACAGAAGCGATTAAATTACAGTTTAGTCAAGTATGCAAGTTAAGTATGCAATCTAGTTTTAAACTCTTAACATCAAATCTATGACTAGATAAGTGAACACACATATTTTATAGATATAAATATGATTTGCTTAAGATTTATAAGCTTCCAATTTTTTTTAAAGCAATTTTTATGGCAAGTACTTCGTTCTCTAATCATCATATTAAAAAACTCTCCTCAAACACGATATATTTTTACACTCTTAATTACCGCACATGAATACTTAATGTATTAGCATTATCAATAAAAAAGAAATCGAAAAATAACAATTGACAAATATTTAATTTGCTGCTTAAGCGGAATACTAAGATACAGTTTAAATAGATTTAATGATTTTTTTTGAGTTAGTTAGCCTTTAATATGCTTTTCTTATAAAGTACAAATGAACAAGCATTAAAATTCCTGATTCGGCCACTTAACGCATCTCTTGAGTCAATTATAACCTATATTCCCTCAAAATTTTAATATTTCCACCTAACATATTCTCCAAAAAAATTACATTCGACTTGCACTTAAGTTATATACCTAAACTATTCGTAGAAAAAATAAGCACTCTTTTTAAACTGGAATAGTAATAAATGGTGCAGATAGATTTAATGCTTTTTTAGATAGTTGGTATACTAGCATTAGCCATAAATAAAAATAATTGATAAACACTTAATTTTCTGTTTAACTGGAATAGTGATATATGGTTCAAATGGATCTAATGATTTAATTTGGGATAGTCAGCCTACGAAGTTCACAAAGTAAAAATTAACAAGTCTTAAATTCTCTTGTTGAATCAGCTGCTTAAGACACCTGCTGAATCAATAAGAGATTCCTTACTTATTGCTGTAACCTCGTTATATATTTTGCTTGCCATTAACTTCTCTTTCCAGTTTTTCAATTTGCTCATCTTCCAACCACAAAGCTGACTTTCTTCAATGTCTTTATCAAGTGGCAGTGAATACAAGGCCATAAAACGCTAATCCCATCATGGGAACAATGCGAAAAGCGTAATTGGGAGGGGAGCTGCGTTTAGGCACGCTATCAATTGATACATCAGTTGATAAAGCCAGACACAGATCCTGTGAGAATCGCGTGGCGCACAGTGGCACACAGCTAACAGGATTTGGCCACGCTAAATCAACGCGATTCGCTGTGGCTCATTTGAGTGCAGCAATCGGGGCATCCTTTGAGGCAGCCACCACCCAAGAAATTCGCTCCGCTTTGTCGGAATTCGACATGCCACAAATTCGTGGCTCATGGGAATCATGCCACAGAGCCGCAGAGCCAATCCGCTATGTATCAGTTGAGTGTAGAAATATTGAAATTCGAAAATCATTTTTGCAACAAAGCACTTGAGAAGTGCTTGCCAAGTAATGCGGCAGCAGTATGCCACATTAGTTGCGGCGTCTATCCTCTGTTAGCGGTGTCGGTCTGGAGACCACCCTTAATTTGTATGCGCATTCCATCTTGTTGGCAGCCTTGTTCCCACACACAGCTCGCAGTCTCTACGAGTATATCAGCTCATTAGCGTCGCCTTCACAGTTTTTGTCGCCGCATCTAATTGCTGCATACGCTGCTCGACTTTTGGACTGCATATACCAACCAACCACCCACCCCTTTGCCCTGTTTTGGCTTCACTGCGCTAACAAGGCCAACATATTCTCGTCCACTCATATGGCGTATGTTTCTCTAGAGCATGTGGCGCTTTTTATAAGCCTGGGAACCTATGTTTTTCACTTGGTGACAACTGGCGCCGCTATTAACAGAATTTTTGGAATAACATAAAACAAATATTCGAAATGTTTTGTGGTATATTAAGTAAACAAATATCAAAAATAATATTTTGTGTACACATAAATTAAATAAACGAAACAATATTACATAAGTTAAACTTACAAACTTTATATTATATCAGAAAAAAAATCACTGCTAGTAAAATAATTTAAAAATTTGTTTAATGACAACTCAGTGCAAATTTGTAGTGATGAGCATTAAAATAGAACAGAGAAATTCTTTAAAAAGTTAAAAGGTGTCTTTACAGCGAAAAAGTCGTAAAAAGTATTAAAATAAATTTAATTTAATATTACTTTAAAAACATAAAATAAATACAGTAAATACTCAAAATAAATAAATACAATTGACAGAAAGAGATAAATATTTTAAAATGTTATTAACTGATTGGAACTAGTTAATATATCCCAAATCATGATTGAAAGTCTACTTATTTTATGTTTTATTCTAATTCCATACCAACTGTACAAGATAAGGAGACGAATATTTTAAAAGACATGTCTTTTAATAGATTTTGAGCTGATGGAAAATATGTTATATATATCCCATATATGTGCCATGATTGAAAGGCTACTTACTTTTTTGGTTTTTCCCACATTTTCATTATATAAATATAAGAGACATTTTGTATAAGTTTGATTTTAATAACAATAAGATATTTATTTAAACATTAAGTCACACATCAAATGTTAAATGGGTTGAGCCAGAAACTTAAGACTAATACTTTACAATGATAATACGGACTGCAGGAAAGTATATTGCCTTTTTCTAGAGCTAGTCCGATGGAAAAATCGATCTGTAAGATTGCATGACTTTAAGATATCAATTGCACTATATTTATGGCTAAAGGGAGAAACTTAAATATGGGAGCGCTGCAACTAAACGTAATATCACAATGGGAACATTTCTGGGGGGAGAGCGTTTACGGACTAGACTAACAAAAAACACACACAATACACACACTCTGGTAGCTTAAAAGTATCCGAAGAAATGCTTGGATCATTTGGAACCACCGCCGGATCTGCGTCCGGGTGGCGTGCCACCAACCACATTGATAATCTCATTATCACTGGACTCCTCCGGCGTGGGCTGATGGTCGCTGGCCTTGTCCTGATGTGCCGTCATATGCCGTGTGAGATGATGCCGCTCGCGGAATGTCTCCTGGCACACCGGACACCGGAGCTTCTCCTCGCGCTTGCGTCGATTGGGATCGCAGGCCACTTCGCTCTTGTGATGGGATCGCATGTGATAGACCAGATCGCTGGTCATGCGGAAGCTAATGTTGCACTTGGCGCACACATTCTGTGCGGTCAGCGTGAACGTCGATGCCAGCGTCGGTGGTATCAGCGTCGAGAGAATCGCTGCGGCAGCCGGATTCTGCAACGGCTGAGCAACGGAAAAGGGATGCGGTGGCGGACCAAAGCCCGGATACGCGGCATGCAGAAATTCGGGTGGAGGTCCCGATGGCGGGGATGATGGATTCGACGAGCAGCCATTGGGACTGTGGCCATTGGGTGCTATGGGCGGCCTATAGAGCAATTGTTGCTTGAGTCGCTGCTGTGCCTGCAGTGCCTGCATGGGATTGACGGCCTGGAAGGCGCCATTGAACTGATACTCGGGCCGAAAGTTATGATATACAATGGGATTGGGCAAACTGATATTGTTGCAGCTGCCACCGCTACCAGTGCGAGGTGGCGGCGGTGGGGGCGTGGCAGCTGGCGGACTCATTGAATGACAGCTCAACTGATCCGGACTTAGAGGTGGTGCACTTACATCCACCGGTGGTGACTCCAAACGCGACATCGTCGACGGCGACGACGAGCTGGACAGCGACGAGGACGCCACCTTGGTGAAGGCGCTGCGCATCGGCGGCGGCGGTGGCGAAACAGTTGCCTCTGGCGAATCCAGCAGTGGAATCACCAGCGTGGGATCATCATATACCCGCGGCGAGCGTATGGCTGCCAACTGTGGATAACGTTGTCGTGCCTCCAGCAGACTAATGTACTCCATGGCCGCCGGTGAGGGGGGCTGTGAGGCAGCAGCACGTGGCGACAAATCCGTGGGATAGTGATTCAGTTGGAGCAGCTGCTGCTGCTGGTGCTGCTGTTGTTGCTGCTGCTGCTGCTGTTGTTGTTGGTGGTGTAGCTGCAGTGCCTCCTGGAGGCGTGCCTGCTTCTCGGCCTGTTTCTGTTTGATCCGCTCATCGGGCATCATTAGAAAGGCCACGTCAAAGGAACGCTTCAGCGTCGTCTTGGGCGTCTCATTGTTGTTGTTATTATTATTGTTGTTGTTGTTGTGCGTTGGTTGCTGTGTCATTGTTGCTGTTGCTGTTGTGGGGCTGGTGGAGATGCGCAGCTCGGTCTGCTGTTGCTGTTGCTGATGCTGCTGCTGCTGATGCTGATGCTGGCGACGCACAGCGTTATTCGCATGCGACGGCAGGCTATCCAGGAGCAAGTTCATCGCACTGGAAATTGAACACTTTATATTCCTAGCGATGGGATTCCGATTTAATGTTTTAATTTTGATTATGTGCACTTGTCAACTAGTGTGTTCCGTTCGATTCGAAGCTCTGGTTTCGACTGCTGCCCGCACGCAATCTGTTCCTCTTTAAGTACTCGTCAGCATTGCCCACCACCAGCGGAGCGCAGCGAGTCCACTTGGAATTTTTCATATTGTCCCATTCAAAGGAAAACTCTCCGCACAAAACTCGCGGCACTCGCACATCTGTCCTGATTCTGTTTCGACTCCCTGCCAGAGTCTGCTCCGACTGCAGAGAGTCAAATTCGAATCTACACCCTTATGTCTTATGCTCTTGTTGTTCTTGTTGTTGTAGCTGCTGCTGCTGCTGTTGCTGTTGCTGCTGCTGCCGTTGCCGTTGCGACTGCTGTTGCTATTGCTCTCCCGCTCTCTTTTCGGCGACCCATCTGCTTTGCCAGTTGCCAACATATTCTGTGGTTTTATTGTGTGAACAGCGCCTGGGCTCGCCTCCTGGTTGGCTGGCTGCTTTTAAGCGTCGCAGCCTGCAGAGGCTTTGCTTTTATATTTTACTGCACTCCACATTGTATATCATGTACTGCACAGTGGTTAAAGTTTGTAAGCTTTGTACAAATTGGTAAGCCATAAGTAAAGTAATGTTCCTTTAATATTTATGTACTTATTTACTACTTAGATGGTTGCCAAGTATATTTTAAATTATCCTGTTAAATTATAAAAGCATTGGCCATTTTTTAATAACTTTCTTTGTTTTTTTCATTATCTTAGCATACCTCACTGTTAAAGTATACAAGTAAATACAAGTAAATATAAAGTTATATATTACGGTAATGTTTATTTTCTATTCTTTAAGTTCTTTGTTTTCAGAAGATTTACAAATATGTATATATCGAGTTTGGTTTTAGGTTAAAGAACGATTAAATACTGAAAATTCAATTAAAAATAAAAATAGTATATATTATTGTACATTTTATTTCAGATTTGCTCTCTGTTTTCATTATTTTTGCATATACATATTTCAGGAATTCTTTTTAACTTCAATGAACTATTAATTGATAAAAATAACATTCAAAGTTTCAAATTATTATTTTCACAAAAACCAAATTAGCTTAAAAAGCGTTGATAACATCCATAAAGCATTTGCATATTTGGATAGTTCTATTTATTTTCTTTGAATAACACTTATTATAAATTGTAATTATTAATTGAACATTAATTTAAACAGACATTTCCATGCTCAAAAAGATCAAATTAGTTTCGAAATTGTTTTCAATAACAGCTGTTAAAAGTTACATTTAAACATTCAATAAATTTAACTAAGCAAATTTCATTGTTAATATTAAATAAATCACATTAACTGCACTTATGCAAGTATGCAAGAAAGAATCGCCCTACACTCCACTGTGCCACTCGGATTGTGGCATACTTTCGAAAAGAGGCGGCGCTTAGAATGCTGCCTGCGCTCTCTAGTTCTCACTGCCAACCCCCTGGACGGGCAATCTGTTGGCTATCTCGTTCGCCCTGTTTCGCTTGCTCTATCTATTTCCCTCTCTCTCGCTTTGTGGCTGCTGCACGTTATATCCATGATGTCCTTGTTGCAAGTGTTTCCGAACAGGTTGTTTTTGTCGATTTTTTGGCAGCACCAGCGAGATTGTCTGAATATGTATTCATGTCTGTTGTGTCGCTGTTGTTGTTGTTGTTGTTCGTATTTTGAATATATGCTGCGCGTAGCTTTTACATATTGTCTGAGAGCATATAAGCACACACACACAGACACACACACACACACACATACATACACACCCAATGCGAGGGATTCCAGTTGGGTTTCACGTAGGGGACTGTTGAGCGCAAAAAGATTTTGCAAACTAAAATATTTATCCGTCTGCCTGTCACTGCATATACACAAGCACATATATAAAAAATGGGGAAAAAATAGCTTCCAACTGTCGACCATTGTCCAGTAACAATACCCAACAATAGCAACAACAACAATTACAACAAATTATGCTATGTTTTCCGTTCGCTTTTCATCTCGCTCTGCCAGCCGCTTTTTTGACTGTTATTCTGTTCTCTAGTCCTAAGACAGGATGTGCCCACTGCTAGGCCAAAATATGTGTTTGTTATGGCCACGTTATGTTGGCCAGGAACAATGTCCAGTACATTCCCACAATTTATTGGAATTCCACGCCTTTTATTGCAGTTCTTGTAGTTGTTTTTGTTATTGCTTTTTGTCTGCAGTTGGCAATTTAATGTTTGCATATTTTCAGGTGCTAATTGCTCCACTCACCATATGAGCTGCATTTTTAATTAAAATTTATAGCATTTGTCTCTTTGTGTGTGTGCGTGCGTGTATGTGGGTATGCGTGACTGTATTTGTTGGAGCCTATAATTCGACTGGCCGCCATGTTTTCTGTCGACAAAAATTAATATTTAACACATGATTGCCTTCGGCATTGGCATTTCATTACAAATATTGCTAAGCTTATAATTAATTAATTGCCGGAAGAACTATTAAAGCTGTTGCCATAATGATTATCCATCGCATGGAGCTAAGAATTGGATAAATATCTGCTCAATATACACTAAATTGTTATGATTTATTCTGATTATTTAAGGAATCATTTGAAGTTATTTTTGTTAGTTGTGAATATTTCGATATTTTGTAATTAACTGATAAGTTGTGTAATTAATTTCAAAATATTCAAATATATGATATATATACGAACTTGTACAAAATTCTTCTTATCTAATTTCTAATATTTATTTACTCTACTTCGAATATATTTTAAGTTCTTTAAATATCATCCAAAATATTTACTTTTATTCTGGATTATTTCCAGTTAAATACAAATATTCCTATAAATAAAACTCTAATTAATTTTGAAATCATGATCTAAATTCTATACCAAATTCACTGGCAGTTCTTAGGTATTTATTCCCCACTGTCTTTGCCACACATATGCGGCACGTGACTGCAATTTGAGTCAAGTGTAAATCGCAACACATTCAGAACCATTCAGTCGAATACGAGTATTTTCAGTGGAAATTAACGCAAACCTACGATATACAAATCGAGCACAAAATTTGCGAAGGCCAAACCAATTGCTAATCTACCCTTGAAGATCTTGTCGACTACAACAAACTGACGAACTGTTTGCCCTGTCAGTTTGAAATAGGGGTGGAGGATTGTTGTTGTTGCCTTTTCCGCTGTCGATACATCAAACTGGCAAGTGACAAAGTGATTCCCTGGGCCTGAGCCTGAGCCAAAAAGGCGTGAAATTGCCTTTGTGTGATTAAGTCAAGCCGCTCAAACGGCAGGGGAATGGAAGTGGAAATGGGAATACAACTGAATGTCTCGGAAAAGCGAATTGAAAACTAAGATGACAATCTCCGGACTAAGTTTTAGAAAGCAGCTACGTGCTCCTTATGCCGTGTCTCTTTGGTGGTTTTAATTACCGGCAAAGATAAGTAAAATGTAAATGCTAATTGTTTCCAGTTGGAGTCGAGTCAGGCAACAGGGAGCAGGGAGCAGGGAGCCGTTGGCACTGGTACATCCTGGAGACAGCCGACACCTTTTCTTACGGTTATTGTTAATGTTAATGCCTTGGCTGCTGTCTCGTAATCTCGGCGTGGTTTGTGGCTTTATGTTTACCTAGCAAATGGAACAGCTTCCAGCTGCCTGCTGCTCGGAAGTTGGCTGCTTAGAAAGTTTCCTGCTTGTGCAGATTGCATCGAGTGCTGTGCATAATTTCGTCCGACCTGCACTTGCCAAATGCCACTTGCAACCCTTGTGTTGTGTTACAGTGAAGTGTCCCTGGAGTATGTATGCGCGATGGTTTGGTCCAATTTATAGTCTCGGTCTCAGGTTCAATCAAGTGCTTTTCGCGCATTATATAAAAATTCGAATTGGATTTCAGAGCGGAGCACCTAATTTGATGGTGGGATGGTTGGAAGGGGAGTTCGGGAGTGTTCTGGGAGGGTTGTTTTTTGCCCCTGTTGCTGTTTGTTTAAATACCGTGAATAACATGTGGTTTTTTCGAAGCATATGGCAAGGACTTTGTCACTATTTAGACGGTGTCTGGTCGTCCTTGTTCTCGTTCAAATCCTCCAATTAGACTGTCATTCATTTAAACGGATTAAAAATCCAGCACGAGGGTCGCTAACAAGGCCTAAGGGCATGTCTCTAGTGCTGCTGCCTCGGGTGGTGGTGCTGCTGGTGGTGGCTCTTGCGGTTTAGTGCTCGGAAGTTATAGTTAATGTGCAGCCCAAGCGGCAGAGCTATGCGGATTAGAGAGCTTGTTTTGGTTACGAAATCGCCTCATGACAACAATTGCAATGTCCTTGTTGATGTTGCTGTTGCTGTTGTTGGTGCTGCTTTTGTTGTCGATTCGATTGCTGGCGTCGTGTGCGTTCAATCAGCACGGTGTAGCACAATGTAGCCATAATCAAGCTCGACAATTTTTCTGCTGTCATATGCAAAATGCCAACGAGCATTCAAATGGTTCAGTCTCTGCCTCGGCATCTGCACCTGCAAGCACAGCATTTGGAATGGTGTCCTGGCTGCCTTACTGCACCCCATCCACTGAAGCACGGGCTTTATCTAAAATGCTTACGCTCGGGCAGCTTTCAATCGAGTGGTGTATAAATATTTATGTGTTGCTCGAAATCTTATGTGGCAATACGTGAATATTCCAAAACACACGCCTGTAAGCAGCAATTTCTGGTTGATAAAATAACTAAACAATCCTTGCAACAGTTACCAGTTGCCAAGTGTTAAATTCAGCATAGAGGTTCCAAGCCAGAATGTCAAGGGCACTTCA